TATGACTGAAAAATTTCATTTTTCTCAAAAGGTAGTGTCTATTTACTTGTGACCACGCTGTGTATATTTAACCGTGAAGTAACACTTGTCTTGTACAACAAAAATACTATGCATGAGAGGTCGCCATATTATTTACTGATCCGGAACCATAGGTGTCTTAATCCGTCTCTGACCATATTGCATTAGTTCAGTGATGTTAACAGCTCAAATGTATTTACAAATTGACACAACAGTATAGTGTTAATGAACATACTAAGGCTTCATGAATGAAAACGATATGAACGGCCATAATCATTAGTTCATTCAACCTGCATATATAACTAACCTTTTTAGCTCTGTTAAAGATATACACAGCTTTGATAATATAGTTTGTTTGTTTATTTCGGATGTTGCACAAAGTCACATAAAGGCTATCTACGCTAATTGTTCATACTTTTGAGCTGATAGGCTAGAGTGAAGGCGGTTGTCAACAGCATCTAATCGAATAGTGAGATTTAACCATTTCTTTTATAATGGTCCTAAAGTGGGGAGCGCGATTTTGCAGCAACGAGACGCGAACCTTTGACCCCCGGATTCACAGCCCGACACGTTGACCACGGCCTCTACGTGAATAGAATAGTCTAAATATTTCTATTATATTTAAAAATCTTGCAAACTTTGGACCTGAGATCTTTGGTGTGGGTGACTCACTGTGTAGACATTTGTTTTTTCTCTGCATTGTGATGATCACTGTTTACACAAATTATCTTTAGTTGAAATAAGAAAGAACAAGGAAGATGACAATCCCAAATGATAGGCGTTGGGGATATTTTCACCTTCGTTCTCTATTGAGACGGTAAAAGTTAGAGAAGAACTTTCCACGTACGTTATAATTTCATTTTGATTTTGAAGCAACTGATTAATATCAGTCAGGTGGCTATGAATGATTGGTTAGCTTTGGAATATGTTGACTTGACTATGTAAAACTACTTTATACTAGTTTGTAAACTATCTTTCAATGGTCAGAGATTGAATAAAAACTGGCTTCTTGAAAACACAAATCTGGACTATCACCTACCTTGCATACTATGGTTGACAGGAAATTTATAATAACTGGACTCCAACTTTGTAGTCCAGTAATATAGTTAGTAAATAAACCTATTCACGAACAATATTTCACTCGTAAATTAGCAGCATCTTTCATACAATATAGCTATATCCATATGTGATGCCTTCTCGAGGTCATCTACTACTTTAGGTTAAGGTCAAATATTAGGCTTAGAGGTAGATCAAAGTCAATAGGTATGTTATGGTCAAATGTAAGTTTCTGTTTCATTGGCATATTGCTAATGAGTCAGCATATTGCAAAATTAACGCCAAGATAGGTTTAAAATAGTTGTATCATTAACTGCCTCAGTCAGAAAATCACATTCTTGTTCTACATACACACATCAACCCTGTGAGATAACAGATAATACTTCATGTTAACATAACATTAACTCTATATTTATTTGTGCATTTTTTTCCTCGCCAAAATATGAATTTCATGATGAAAAGATTAGATAAAAAACCAAAAAACAACAACAACAGAGAACATCAATTCAGCAAGCTGAGTCATGTTGGATACTATTGATCATGGTGCTAACGAGATCTACCGATTTCTGAAATTTAAAGGCAAGTAATATAAAATCGTGTCAATGGAAGATTTGTTAGAACAGAGATTTATTTATTCATTTTCCGGTTTGTTATTATTTATTGCCAAATATATCGTTCAGGACGTGTTTGATGAATCCAAATCTCCACATTTCTTTCTAACTTAAACTGTACCACAGTTAATCATCCTTGGATACGCTTTAATTAAAAACATAAAAGAAAACCAGTCAAATTAACTGAAATCAGAAGCCAAAATGAACAACGTAACCAATAATAAGCAACAGAGACAACATGTAGGATCTATATAATCGTTCCAATCATATTTAACCCTTAGAGCTAAAAGAGTCAGATTCAGTGCTTGAGTCCTAAGGAAAAGAATCGCTGTCGCACTATATCATTTTAAAAACAGTTAAAAATAAAGTACCTTTATCAGTGTTTTTTTTTTTTTTTAGTTAATGAAAACTAATAAGAAAACGGTCAAAACGAAAAATTAAAATGATAAGTTAATTAAATAGAAATGTTTAAAAAGTAGTGACTGAAAAAATATGGTTTATATTTGGTAGATAGTTTTCACTATTTTATCATCACCCACCGCCAACTCTTGGGCTACTCTTTTACTCTTTTTTTGGGATTGATCGTCACATTAGAACGCCCCCACGGCTGAAAGGGCGAGCATGTTCGGTGTGACGGGAATTCGAACCCGCGACCTCTCAAATTGCGAGTCGAGCGCCCTAACCACCTGGCCATGCCGGGCGAATATAGATTGAATCACATATGGAAAATGTTACACACACACACACACACACTCACAATAAATGGACAAAAACACCAAACGTTTCATTCCGTTTCATGGTAAGGCAACGTGAATTTACTGTAGCAACATCCCAGAACAAAGCATCGTCGTAAATGCGGTAATCTTTGACACATTTTTACATGTGGGTGGTTAAATGTGAACATAGTTTGCTATAAAAAATATTTTTATTTATTTAGAGAAGGTTTCAGAAACTGCCGGAACAGTGTTCTCCTGCGACTCGAGCGCTGGTCGTATTGATCTAATGCAAAAACGTTTATTTAAATAAGGGTCTATATAAAATGTAGATCGACAACATTACTTTTGCAATACGTTGAAGAATAAGTAAATACTTAATATTATGACATCTTAAGATTGACTTATTAAACTAATTAATGATTGAAAAATATCTAATAGTGCAATTAGAATTTCAATATGAAATAAATGTTCACAGATTTTAAATACAGAGTGTCGCTTTTAATTACTATATGTTTTTTTGAACTGTTACTATAGGAAATAAACGATACTGTAATCAGTTTTTTAGACATGTCAGTATTTAAGGACAAAACCCATGGTGTTCAATGTATATATACCTTTACCAACCTAAGGACGTGTTATTCTAATGAAAGAAATAACGGAAAGAGAGATATAAACAGATGGGAAGCTCGTAAAAAATGTCAACGTTTTATCGGATGTTCAGAGTAAAACTTTCGTTTATTTTATCACAACGTTTCACTATTTGTTTTGTT